AGCTACCAACCATATTCCTATTATCCTCGGGATCGCCGATCACCATCGGTCCCAAGAGACGCCCCATCTACATCAGGGCGTGTGGAGAGAGGATGCTCAACCTCTCCAGAAACCTCATCTTCGAGCGACCACCTTCGCTACCACGAAGACTCGGATGAGTCGGAGGTCGATTCTACATCTTCCGATGTGGCTATTACCTCCCAAGGTCCTGCATCACCTGACGAACCGCATGTCACCTTTACGGAGCTCATGTCCCGTCTCGTTCGGTCTCTGGAGATCGAGGCCAATCATCGCCCCGGTCCCAGTACCAATTGTTTTTATGACCTTGTCAGGGGAGAGCAGTCCGCAGCCATAGCCCTTCCGCTTACTATGACACTTTGTCAGGCTATGGTCCAGCCCTGGGACCAACCGACTCAACCACAGGCTACCTCTCGTCGGTACAATGCCATGTACAGGGTTCGAGAGGATGACATCCCCTTTTTGCTCCGTCACCCGAAGCCGAACTCTGTGGCGGTTGAATCCTCCCAGGGCAGGGAGTCCAGGGGTCACACAGCCCCTCGTGACAAGGAAGGGAGGAAAATCGATATGCTCACATGTCGAGTCTATGCGGCCTCTGGGCTTGGCGTGCGCATATCGCATTATGAAGCAACACTGGCACATTACCAGTACTTCATCATGCAAAAACTGGATAACGCTGCTTCCTCCTTTCCAAACTACCAAGTGGACTTGGCCAGAGTCTTTATAAAGGAAGCGATGCAGGTGGCGATACAACAGTTGTCCACCGCCAGGCACCACGTGGACACTGACTCGAGGGCCATCATCAGTGCCATCTCTTTGCGCCACCATGCGTGGCTACGAAATTGTAATTTTCCCGATGAAACGAAGAGGAGGATCGAGGAAATGCCATTTGACGGCACCAGACTGTTCCATCAGAAGACTGACTGTAAGCTGAAGGCGATCCACAAATCATGCATGACCGCACGCCGCATGGAGCTTCCTCAGCAGAGACGTAAGTGGCAATGGCCCGGATCCTCCTACCACCAGCAATATCAGCCTCGCCAGCAGTACCAGCAACAACAGCAACGTCGAAGGCAGCAGCCGCAACAACACTTCCCCCAGGGCTGTCGACGTTTCGACACCAACAAGCGCCAACGTTGACGGTCTGGGCGAACCATCCTCTCTCTTCTCTCACCACCTTCCCCTCTCCCTTTTGGGGATCGGCTCCAAAGCCGACTCTCCATTTGGGAGTCCATTACATCTCATAGGTGGGTGTTATCTGTCATTCAGCTCAGATATAGGATAGAATTCGATGTCATCCCTCCGTTGAGTCTGATTCGTTTTACACCTTGTTCATTGGTACTGTGCGACACGGTCTCTCAGCTACTTCGTAAGGGAGCGATTCAACAACTGTCCTGCTCTGCGGGATTTCATGGATTCTATTCCAGATATTTTACGGTCCCGAAAAGGGACAGTGGTCATCGTCCGATCCTGGACTTACGGAATGTTAATAGGTACATCAAACCTAAAAAGTTTCAAATGACCACTTTACAGAATATCTTTCCATTTCTGAGGAGAGAGGACTGGTTTGCCTCACTGGACTTGAAGGATGCCTACTTCCATGTTTCTATCCATCCTTCTCACAGGCGTTTTCTACGTTTCACTGTCGGATCTGATATATTTGAGTTCAGTGTTCTGCCTTTCGGCCTGGCTACTGCCCCTAGAGTTTTCACGAAGTGTATGGCTCCGGTGTGCACACACTTATGGACTCGGGGCATATAAATATATCCGTATTTGGACGATTGGCTCATTGTGTCACAGACAAGACACGGCCTTCTCTTAGCTGTACACATGACTTGCGCTCTACTTGATGATCTTGGACTTTGCATTAACCGCGAGAAATCGTCTCTTATTCCCACGCAGGTCATCGACTTCATCGGGGCACGTCTCGATTCTACTCAAGAAAGAGCCTTTCTTCCTCCGAACTGTTGAGATGTTCTCTGCAGTCACATCCATCAAATTCAACTGCACAGGATGGTACCAGCCATAACCATTCAGAGACTACTAGGACACATGGCTGCTGCAGTTGCCATTGACTGTGTTTGCGGCCCATACAACTGTTCTTCAACAGATCATTTCACCCACAACGGGACTCTCCCACCAAGCTGATTCGGATCCCGCTGTCGATTCTTCGTACTTTGACTTGGTGGACTACTCCAGACAACCTGTCTATCGGCGTCCCGTTCCGACCGCCTCAGCCAACGACAACCCTGTACACCGATGCATTGCTACTTGGATGGGGTGCAGCATGTTTGGGACTTCTGGTCCAAGGGACTTGGAACCAACGAGAAACAATGAAGCATATCAACTTCCTCGAACTTGTGGCGATTTTCAACGCTCTCAAATCTTTTGAGACCGTACTGTGCCACCAAGTTGTCCAGATTGCATCAGACAACATCGCTGCTGTTTTTTACATCAGGCAGGGCAGCACGAAGTCACCAGCGTTAGCACGTCTATCGATGGAAATTTGGGATTGGTGTATCCCAAGAGGCATAGTGCTCCTAGTGGTTCACTTGGCAGGAGCCAACAATGTAGAAGCAGATACGTTGAGCAGACAAATGTCAACAACCCACGAGTGGGAGTTGGACAGACAAATTTGCAAGAACCTCTTCCGTTTCTGGGGTTACCCGGACATGGACTTGTTCGCTACCTGAGACAACAGGGTGTGCGATCGGTACTGCTCAAGCACGGGCATCGGATCAGGATCAGTAGGGGATGCTCTCATGATCCCTTGGGACAACATGACTTTCTATGCGTTCCCTCCTATCCCACTTTTGACGAAAGTACCATCCAAAATAGCGCAAGACAATGCCACAGGGATCTTATAACTCGTTGGTGGCCGAGGCAACCCTGGTTTGCCACTCTCCTTTGACTATCCAGAGGAATGTTTCTTCGGCTCCCAACCATTCTTCAGTTGTTAACTTAGCAGAACGGAGCGATCAGGCATCCAGATTTGACTTCTCTGAAGCTGACGGCCTGGCATATCAGCTAAACCATTTGACTGATTCGATACCGACGACATCTCAAGCAATGGAGGACCCTGTTCAACGAACTGTACAAACGGCTCCTCCCTTGAATCCTACAGCAACCACTTCGGTACCGACAGCCCTCGATCAAGAGATTCTGGCGATTCTCGAATCTGCCTTGAGACCGTCCACCCGTCGGTCTTATGTGGCTAAATGGAAGAGATTCTCATCTTTTGCTGAACGTCATTCGTTTTCTCCTAGAATGGCTTCGATTGAGAACATCTTACAATTCTTGGAACTGTATCACTCAGGACTGAAACCCTCACCTATTAAAGTTTATGCAGTTGCCAAATCGCATTATTGTGGCGCTGTTCAAGGCTCATCCGTCTTCTCTCAACCTCTGGTTCGATGCTTCATTAAGGGATTACAGAACTTACATACTTCCATTCATCCTGCTATGCCAACATGGAGCCTCTCAGGCACTTATAAAGCCCCCATTCGAACCTCTGGCGACTGTGGACCTACGCCTTGTTTCTTGGAAAACGGCCTTTCTTATAGCAGTCACATCAGCTTGGAGAGCTAGCAGACTTTGTGCTCTTCGTATAGACTCACCATATTTGAATTTCCATAAGGAAAAGGTCATTCTTCGGATGGATTTATCATTTCTGCCTAAGGTGGCTATGCCATTCCACATGAGTCAAGGGATTGTTTTGCTGGCGTTCTTTCCATTGCCTTCGAATCTGATAGAACGGTCTCTTCACACGCTTGATGTTCGATGTTGCTTAGCCTTCTACAGATCTCGTACAGAACCCTTTCGTCGTTCTAATAGACTCTTTGTTAAGTGCTCTGAGCATGACAAAGGGTCCCCGGTCACATCCCAGATGCTCTCTAAATGGATCGTCAAAACTATCGTCTTGGCATACCAGCTATCGCACATAGACTTACCTGTGTTTCCAAGAGGTCACTCTACGCGAACAGTAGCGACTTCATCTGCCTTTGCTGCGGGGGTTTCACTTTAGGATATCTGCAAAGCTGCGACATGGGCTGCTCTATGTACTTTCGCCAAACATTATCGGCTAGATGTCTGCGCCAGACAGGACTGCTCCTTTGGCAGATCTGTTCTTTCATCTATTCTTTGCTGATGACACCTCCCTCCTCCGAGTCTGGTAGGCTTGCTAATCACCCATATGTGTGATGCACAGAGGCCACGACGAAGAAAAGCAGGTTGCTCACCTGTAACTGATGTTCTTCCATGTAATCCATGTAGAAAAATCTGCATTTAAAGAAGGGAGAATTTTGTCTCCTTATGCTTGGTTATTATAACTATTATGGATGTTGCAAAATACTAGATTAAAATATTAGAAGATACCTACAAAATACATCATTAATACATTCCAGTATCATTTATATGAATTAAGGATCATTAGTTGTATCTAGGGTTAGTTCTGCTTAGAGTAGACTTAGTAAAGACAATGGGACATGAACTAGACTGATGTTGAATATGATTCATATGTTTATAAAATTCAAAACAAAAATATTTTTTAAAATCCTATTTCGGCTGTGTCAACTTCAGTAAGAATCATGAGGTTTAGAGAAAGAGTTTTCAGCTATAGTAGCTTACATTGCTATAAATTTTGCTATGGTGGGCAGGAGAATTTTGTTTCAAAGAAATTTGATAATTGGAAAGGTTGCTCAGGCTGATTCAGAGTTTGTAGTTATTTTAATATTTTAAATGAGTAACTCTTACTAAAAATATTCTTTCTATTCTTGTAAGCACTCATTTTTTCCTCAGTTCTGATTTAGTGTTAAGCCAGATAAATTGGATCTTGTGTTCTTGTGTATATGCAAGTGGCAGAGTGATTGGCACACTACATGCAAGAAAGTTTGAATTTGTGTAGTCAAACTTGCTTACAAAACTGTTGAAGTGAGAAGTCATATGTTACTGATGTCAACCTTTATGTTGGTTTTGCAGGTAGAATGTATTCATCTTTATCAACAAAATTTCTGGACATAGATCTGAAGATAACTGACATATACTACCATCCAAAAGAAGTTCTTGTGAAATTTCAGGGTATATATAACACAGAATGTGAATTTGACTATCACATATTACAAAGTGAGATACAGTGGGTATCAAAAGTGAAAGACTCAGTTGGTGTTGGTGAGTTTTGTTTAGTAGAAGATTCAGAACATGGAGAATGGTACAGAGGAAGAGTAGTACAGAAGAAGAGCTACATGTATGAAGTATTTCTCATAGACAGTGGGAAAATACTCACAGTACATGAAACAGATATTGCTTCTGCCTTTGATGAGTTGTTTCAGCTACCTCCAAAGATAGTGTGTGGGATATTTGCAAATATACTTCCAGTTGATGAAAAATGGAATCCTAAAGCTTTGAATTACTTTTCATCCTTAAGAGACCTACAAATTAAAGGCCAGGTACAGGCCATTCTCCCACACCAAACTTTTCTCCTTGATGTGCCTAAAATCACTAGTGATGTGATTGAACTAAAGTTAGCAAAACTTGTTGATGGAGATACATTCCGTCTCATTGTAGAAATGTTAACTGAATTTCCACAAGTGACCCTTTGTAAACAAATGCCAGATTTACTTCAACAGAAGTACACAAGGCCTGACACTGTGTGTTTCAGTGCTGGAATTCAACCTGATGTTCAGCTGGTTCTGAATAGCTTTCAGCCACTTTTATCTGTTGGTGCGATGGAGCAAGTAAAAATATCAGTGGCAGTCAGTCCAGGTAAATTTTATTGTCAACTACTACGACACCAAACGGAGCTGGATAAGTTAACAATAGGCATGTGTTCCTATTATGAAAATATTGGTAAAGAAAATGTTCCATCCTGTGACAATCTTGGAGTCCTCTGTGCAGCAAGACGAAAAAATGGTCAGTGGTACAGGGGGGTGATACAACAACTGTTTTCTGATAACAAAGTGAAGATATGGTTTATGGATTTTGGTGACTATGAAGCTGTACCTTCTCGTTGTGTTTTGAAGCTTCAACCACAATTCATTTCAGTACCAAGGTTTTCGTTTCCTTGTGCACTGTCATGTCTTACTGATCAAGATGAGGCTGTAAGAAATAATCAACTAAAAGAATTTAAGAAAGCCCTCTTAAGACAAAATGCTCTTTATGCGCAGATTGACCTGTTCAATTCTGATGAACATTTGTATTACATCACACTACGTAAACAACAACTAACAATGAAGAATGAATATCAGCCTCCAGGGAACAATGTAGTTCCAAAATGCTATTCTTCCTTTAACACAGAATTTTCTCACGTAAATGGAGACACAAAAATCTCCTCTGTTCGCCCTGTCTTTCCTGGGTGTGTTCAAAGAAAAATTCTACAATCAATACAGCATTCAGACCAAAAGGACTCTGATTTAATGTGCTTTTCCTTAACAGTCCCTTGCAAAAGAGCAGAAATGAAAATAGATTCTGTCTGTGTTGCGTTTGTAGTGTATGTCTTGAATCCATCTAATTTTTGGGTTCAAACTAATGATTATTTCGATGAGTTTGAAGTCTTAATGAAAAGAATTTCAGATACATATGATGCAAATGAAGCGGAATATAAGATGTTGGAAAAGCCAGAACCTGGAAAGCTATGCTGTGCACGATATAGTGAGGATATGCATTTCTACAGGGCTGTAATCAGGGAGGTGGTGGGCAGCAGTATTAAGGTTTGGTTTTTGGATTTTGGGAATACTGAGATAGTGCCTTTCTTTGATGTGAAAGTTTTGCTTCCAGAGTTCCAAAAATTGCCAGCTTTAGCCATATGTTGTTCACTTGCTAATGCAGTTTCAACTGAAGATGTATGGACAAAAAAAGAAACAGATTTCTTTAAATCACTTGTGTTCGGCAAACAGCTCACACTCCATCCCATTGTCGAACAAAATGGTGAATACATTGTCAATGTACAGAGCATGACTGGCTCAAAGCAAGATGACATTCTCATGCTTATGGTTCAGGCGGGATGTGCAGAATATTGGGAATTAAAGCAAGATCCATTTTTTAAAATAGTCTATGGTTCTCAAGTATGTTGTTCAAAACAAAAAAACAAAAACACCCACAGTAAATCACATATTTGGGAAAATAAAGTTGTGATAGCTAATAATGCTACTCACAGTAAAAAAAAGATGAGTACTTATCCTTTGACAAAAAACCCTACTCTTACTTTCCCAAGGTGGGAAAGCATACTTTCCAGTAGATGTAGAAAAGTATCTAAAGAAATTGATAGTCCCTATAAAGAGTACAAGTTTAAACCAGGAAGTGTATCTGATGTTATATGTTGTCATATTAATTCACCTGGTGACTTTGCATGTCAGATACAAAATAAATTACAAGAACTAAATAAGTTGATGAAAGAAATGCAAGCTTATTACAACTGTCAAACAATGCCGTATGAAGATGGGCAGTGTGCCTGTGTTGTGAAGCATTCTAAAGATGGGAAGTGGTACAGAGCAGCTGTACTGAAACGTGTGTCTAAGAAAAAGGTTGATGTAGCATTTGTAGACTATGGTAACCAAGAAAGGGTTTTGTTGAAACATCTTCAAGCCATTCACCCAGACTTTTTGATCTTGGAATGTCAAGCATTCAGATGTTGTCTTAATAGTTTGACTGAATCCTTAATATTTGATCCATATAATTGGACTGCAGAGGCATGTAGTGACTTTGAACTCTTTATTTCATCTTCCAATGGATTACTGACTTGTACAATTTCTGCACTAATTCATAAGAGTCCCAGCTATTTATATCATGTGGTTAACCTGCAGACTCCCTTTATTAGTGCACACCAATTTCTCTTAGAACGTGGTCATGCCCAGTTTTGGTCTTTTGAATTCACAAGATCACTTATACCATCATTATCTCTGTACAGCTTTTACTATTCATCTTTTAATATGAAAATTGGATGTGGAGAAATGGTATATGTAAGCTGTATTTACAGTCCTAAAGAATTCTATTGCCAGCTAAAGAGAAACATGGATGATACAGACAAACTCTTGGAAAGGATAACAGAGATTGTTCAAATGAAAAACCATGCAGACCAAATCAGTACTCACAGTGTGTATTTAGCTAAATATTTTGAAGATGGCCTCTACTACAGAGCTTTAGCATCTCCTGAGAGATCATCAGATTACTGGCCTGTATACTTTGTGGACTTTGGGAATAAAGAATTGGTATCAAAAACTGAACTAATTCCCATTCCTGATCATGCTTCAGAGTTAATATTCACACCCATGCAAGCTGTCAGATGTTATCTGTCGGATCTAAAAGATACTGAAATACCGACTGAAATAAACACATGGTTTGAGAAGAATTACTTGTGCAAAGAGCTAAAGGTGGTCATAGTATCTAAAGAATCTGATGGGCAGCTTGGTGTGGAGTTGTATGATGGAGATTTACAGATAAATAAGAAGATTAAAAAATTACTGAAGCACACAGCAAGTGGCGTTGAGCCCAAAGACAGGTGTTCAGCAAAATCTAGAAGCCAAAATCTGGTGCCTAAAATAAAGCCAAGTATAGATAAAACCAAAGTTAAAAGTGAGGTAGTTGAACAGCAAAGAAAAGCAGCAAACAAAGTAAAGCCTTGCAGTCAAAGTAGGGGTAAGTTACGTGCTGAACATGAAAAAGATAAGGCTGATTTTCAGAAACAGTGCAGCAGGCTTGTAAAGCTTCCAACAGCTTTGGACAATAGTGAATTGATTTGGCAAAACGTAATGGGGCAGGGATGTAACGGTACACATGGAGAACTTAATACTGACTTAGTTGTTTTTTATGCAATGCAGTCAAAGGAAGAGGTGCTTGCTGATGATACTAACAAGCTTCATGTTTTGAAACAAAACCCTTCAGGGCAAGGAAGGATTAGGCAAAAGTACCCAAATCTTCCACAGCATAACATTCAGCCAAATTCTAAAATTTTAGGTTATATTTCATCCATAACTAGTCTGTCAAATTTTTATATTCACTGTGCAGAGGATGAGAATAAAATTGTGCAGCTTGCTGAGGAACTAAATAGAGACACACTGGTTATAGAGCCAGAAACAGGTGTTGAACTTGAGGAAGGTGACATGGTTTTAGCAGAGTATGAAATTGATTGCTGCATCTACAGAGCTGTTGTTAGAAAAGTTACATCACAACAGTTGTTCGAGGTAGAATTCATTGACTATGGTAATACATCAACTGTCCATGCCTCAAAACTCCACAAGATGGAAGAGGTGTTCTTAAACTTGCCAAGATTCAGCATACATTGTTTCCTTAGTAAAACCAAATGTGTGTTTCCAGATAAAAATTGGAGTAGTGATATTGCTGCCTACTTTGACAGTAAAGTAAATAAAGAGCCACTAATTTTTGAGTTTTTACAGCAACATGGTTCACAGTGGGAGGTTAATATTTTCTGTCATGGGCTGTCTGTGATCAATGAATTAATGGAGAAAGAAATCAGTTTAGGTTTACATAATATGCTTGTGTTAGATTTTGACCAAATTGCAAAACAGCTTCCAGTAACAGATGCAGATACTGATGGTAATAACCAAAATCCAAAACTTGAAAGTCAAAATGTATATGAAGCAGCTAAGGCCAGAGCTGCCTGGGAAAGTCTTCCTAGAATTTCGTGTCAAAAAGTTAAACCTGGACAGTTAGAAATAGCTGAAATAGTTCATATTTCAAAAGATGGAAGCTTCTATGTGAAATTAAATAAGGATACAGAGATATTGTTGAATTTAAATGAGATGGCTGCTCAAGAAGCAGAGAAGAGTGCCTTCCTTACAGTGGAAAATATTAAGGAAGGATTAGAATGCCTGGCAAAATCAAAAGAAACATTGAAATGGTATCGGTCTGAAGTTATACAAACATATGTGAATGAGCACTGCATGTTGGTTTTGCTAATAGATTTGGGAAAATATGAAACTGTGTCATTTCATGATGCAAAAATGCTGAGTGACAAAATGAGGAGTATTCCAAGGAATGCAGTGCATTGTAAATGGACTTGGCTTGGAAATCTACATAATCAGTCTTTTGAGAGTGTAGTGGAGAAGATAGAATGCTATGAGCTAAAGATCTTGTTTCTGAGATACCTAGAAGCGGTTTCAATTTGGGAAGTAGACATTTTAGTAGATGGGATTCTGCTCCTGGAATATTTGAGTCAAATACCTTACCAGAGGAAATTAGAGAGCTGTAATGTACCAGAAAATATAAATGTGGATAAAAGAAAGTCATTTGTGCCAAATTCCATTTCATGGCTACCGTTCCAGAATGACAGATGCTATCCTGGATTTGCCACATCAGTTACTGATCCTTCAAGTTTCTGTATCCAGTTAGAAGACTCATTTAAGACTCTAAAAACATTGTCCAAGCTTCTTTCAGACCTTCCAGAAAACCTGCCAACTTTACCAAGGGAACTTGTCATTCCTGGTGCCGGTTGTTTGATCAAGACTGGATCCAATGGAAGGTGGAACAGAGTTGAAGTCTCTGAAGTTTCCAATTGTTTAACACTTATCTTTGTTGATGATGATGGATTATCCATTCCCATTCCTATTTCTGAAATTCACAAGCTGAAAATCATTCCAGAAAGGCTTAGTAGTTTACCACGATTAACTTATTGTTGCTCTTTATTTGGAGTGTCACCTGCTGATGGGCAACACTGGAATGATGAAGCGAAGCTTAAAATTCAAGAATTTCTTGCTAGGCCAGGTCTCTCATTCCAATTCAAGCCATACCACTGTGGACTAAAGTTAGAAGTGGATGTTTTATGTGAACAGAACAATGCAGCAGATGTATTAGTTGCTTCTGGTTGTGCTGTATATTCTAAAAGAGCAGTCTCTCTTGGCTCAAATAATTCTGCAGAGTTTAGTCTGTTCAATTCACAAATTTCATGCAATCTATTCCAAATGTGTGGTCAGAAGAATTCCAGTGCAACAATTTCTTTGCTAACTGGTCTAAAAGAAGGGCCACAGAAAACAAAACTGCAATTCAAATATGTTTCTAACCGAAATTTAAAATGGAGCAGCTTGAAAAGACAAACTACTAAGACAAAAGGGGGACAGAAGGTGCTCTTAAATAGTAATGAAAAAAATGAAAACCAGCTTAATGACAAGTTATCTAATCAACAGTGTGACAGAGAACTCAATCAAGCCCATTCCTCAGGCACAGAATCAGAAGCAACACACACACCGCAGATATGGAGAGAGCCAAGCATATAAACACTTCACACGAGAGGTTAGTTTCAAATAACTATTAAAACAATAAGATACGTTATTTCTACAGGACAGCATCCAGTGCTTTCTGTGCACCATTGAGACCTGATGCTGGAGCAATATGAAGCTAGCATTTCTTAACCAAAAGTAAGCCTAAGTGCTTGCTTCCAGAGCAGAGCAGAACAGGTCTGCAGAGCTAGCAGAAGAGGGAGCATCAGTCACCTGACCTGTTTCCAGAAATGGGTGTTTCAGCTTTTTGCAGGGCTGCTTTAAGAAGTGCTTGTTTCCTAGGACAGCAGTATTGCAGCAGCATTGGATACTGTCCTTCATATTTAATACATGACTTCAGTGACTTGGAATCAGGAGAAACGGGCATGTAGTCCTCTATACCTGGGTTCTTGTCCATGCTCAGCAGTAGTCATAACACTGGAATTACAACAACCAAAGGTGATATTTCAAGCCACATTATTTATATTATGTGGGTCGTGCCAGGGCCCTACAAGGAAGGGGTGTGTGTGAATGAGAGAGAGTGAATGGGTGGGCAGGGGAACTACACCCTATATCCATAATTGCAATTTTTAGAATTGCTTTCAAATAGCTTCTATTCTTAACAGGGCTTGCTTCTGGTCTGCTGGGAGGAAAATATATTTTTCCCATGCATGCTGAGCTTTTAAATCTTTCCTTTCTCTCTTGTGCCCTACCCTTAGAATTTTCAGGTTTAGCTTATTCGCCAGTGTGCTATCTGTATCAATACAACTTCATGCATTTCCAACATGTCTGCAGCTCAGTAGAGATTATGTGTATTTAGTATCTAAATGGTACCCAGAAATTATTGATTTTTTAATCTGTAAAAGGAAAGTTTAGGTTTATAATAACCTCTATGGAGGATGCTTTTGTTCTAACTTATTTAATGCTTGTTTTCCAGGTAAAAACTTAAGTTTTACAGCTGGAAACATGTAATGGATTTGGGCACTATTCAACTTGCATGTAAAAAGTGCGGAACAAGAGTTAACATCTTAAATGTTAAAACTTTTAATGGGATTATTCTACCACAATGAGATAATCACAAAAAAATCCATCATCCTGAAAAGTTAACCATGTTTGACATTAAATTAGAATCTTAGTGTTTGCTTCCACCCCACAGGCATTAGTCTTTTAAAATTCTTTGTTATACCTTGATTTGGTATTTGTTCTTGGAATGGGGGAAGGGGAATCATATTTAATATTTCTGGAGATCCAAACAGTGACTTTTTGTAGATACAAGCTTTTCCCCCTCTTTTGTCATTTCAGCAGTCCTCATATTATAAAAACCCTTACTGCTATTTTTGTTGAAACTCTTATTGCTATGTAATTCTTAATGATTTTGAATGTAACTTCAAAAATTACTAGTAACAACTGGCTTCTGAAACTCTGCAGTAAAATTTACTTCATGGATTGGTTTGATATTGCAGTGGGCTATTGCTGAAGGTACGGTTCCACCGCATCTGCCAACATAAGGAACATAGCAACAAAGTAAATGGAAAAAGCAGTGCCAGTGTGTTTTGGCCATTTCTTAGTTTGGTGAACTACTACTTCAGATGTATGATTGGGACCCATGCAAGCCACAACATATTGGTTTAACATTTTTACTAGACCAAAACTTGATGTGACACAAACTTAATATTTATGAACAATACATTGTATTACGTAGGGGATATGTCTGCTATGCACTAAGATAGGGTGTTCTAGTTAATATGTATGTAGTTATCTAGTAATAAGGAAAATGATGAACGTTGATTGGCATTTTAGCCATCTTTACCTGTTTTCAAAAATCTGTAATTTCATAGTTTTAAGTTGGTTTTTATTAGCTACTTCTGGCGCATAGGAAGGAGCATGTGAATATGTGAGCAGTTGCTTATATCTCCTCAAGGACATCTGGATTTTACATTTTCTACTGCAGCTCCTTCTGCTGCATTGGATTACAGTTGTGAGAGTTTTACAGCTTTCAGTGGCTCTTGGTGACTGGTAGATTCTGCTGATGCATTTGGGTTTTGAGCAGCACTTATCTACAGCTTGATTCTCACAACAGTAGTATGTCTGAATTGTTGCATGTTTATGTGACATGTTTAATACAAATGGCTTAAAACATGCCTCCAAATTGTAAGTCTCTTGTGAGCTGCATGAACTGTTGCTTCCGACAACTGCTTCATTATGCTGGAAAGCTGATGTGCTCATCTATCAAAGCAGAGACTGTAGCACCAGAGAAGAAAAAGGGAGTTAATTTTGAACTGAACAGTTCATGTAATCACAGATGAGTTCAGAAATTCTTATTTGTTCAGACATTCTCAAATAACTAGTTTTATTAGATTACACGTTAACTTGCGAGGGAATTGATATTTAGCATAGTGAATGATGTTGTGTTCTTGCTAATATTATTAAAGCCTGTGTTCAGCATTGCAGGATATGCAGCAAGTGTACTGGAGTTTATTTAAATAAAAACATTCAGGTTCAAGCAGTCTGAGCTTTTTACTGTCATAGTAATAAAGTTTTGATAAAAGTAAAATTTTATCATAGATTACTGTTTTTAACACTACCACTTGCTGGGAGCTGCCATGATAGAAAAAAAGTATGGAAAATTAGTCTTGCTGTAATCAATGAGATTTTTCTTTTCTGAGAGGTAGTAAGGACTGTGGAGTGAGAAGTATGTATTCTGTCAGGATGGTTTAGAGCAAGTTTCCCCAAACTTTTTTGGGCTACTGCACCCTTTCCTCTTCGGTGACAACCATTCTGCCTCCACGTCTCTGTATTAGGTCTATTGCTCTGCTGCAAATTTAAAACAATAACACCCCCCCCCCGATCCCCCCCAGAGTGGTTTGGGAATCACTAGTTTATAGAGTATAGAGCAAACCGGATACTGTTGCACTTCCAATTGTTTATTGCAATGTCACTGCTAAGATTAGAATGTAGTTTGCTTTGGCTATTTTGCCATGAAGAAATGTACTTAATTCTTGCTATATGTACCAGTACAAAGACCAACAACCAGTATATGTCTGCAGTAAATAATACATAGGAGATGGTGCTTTAAGAAAACCTAATTTGTATCTTATTTTCTCTGAATGAAAAATAATCCCAAAATGGTTTACAGAATACAAACAGAAGCACAACCATACCAGTGGTGAGCAAATACAAAATAGTAGTAGCAAAATTTCAGTATGACAATAGTGATGCCTTCCCAACAGGAGAAAATGCAACAGCAATACGCTGCAATGAGCAATAGTGATTGCTCATTGCAGCGTATTGGAGAAAAAAGCCTTCGGATTAATTACCTGCATTAGGTCCTGAAAACCTCCCTGAGGAGGACACCCTATAAAGGTGGTGCCACTGTCAAAAAGGTACTGCCTCTTGGATAAGAGTCCATTCCTAAAGCAGGGGATATCGCTTTGCTCAGATGTACAGAAAGTTTTAGAGAATCGAGCAACACAGGAAGCTGTTAATGCGGGGTGGGTGGGAACCAGACTGACAAGATAGATTAGTTGCTATGGTGAATGTATTGTGGAATAGAAAGGAAAGAAATGAAATTGCACTTAACTGAAGATAGTAAAGAGAATCCCTTGGATTTAGCGTGCTGCAGTTGGAGAATGTAATGCCTTGAATGTGCTTAGGCAAGCTAACTATCTTTTTAGGAGTGAAATTGTTAGGTTTATATCCTCCCCTTTAAAAAAGTGGCTCACGTAAATTCTCATGTTTCTCAGTCTCAATCTTAGCCTCACAACAACAACCCTGTGAGGTGGGTTGAACTGAGAATCTGTGACTGGCTCAAAGTCACCCAGTTGGGGCCATGGCTATATGGAGACTAGAACTCAGATCACCTGAGTCCCAGACCCACACTGCTAACCACGACAATACGTAAATTAATGTTTGGAATCAATGTGTTGGGGTAGGTGTATGGTTTGCTATTGCAAAAGGCTGGTGAAACAATTTTTTGAAGCTGCTGTGGAATCCAATATGTTATATAAATCAGCCACTACCACTAATGCGGTGCTGAGTTATTGAATGAATGGAAGCAGCTGTTACCCGTAGAAGCACACTCCTCTATCTGCCTTGCTTAGCTTCACTCACTGTTGGGTTGCTCTTTTACACAAGTTTCCTCTCAGCTTGCTTTTCTAGAGATTGAGACTTCAGATGTGAAGCAAGGCAGCTGCAGCTTTAGAGGGACTAATTTGAACTGCCCAGTGCTAATATAACCTTTCTTCTACATGGAAAGTAATTTTTGACTCCCATGATTCTTTCTCTTCTTTTATTGAGGACATTTTATACACTAGATTCTCCCAGCGAGAGCCTTTGCATGAGAGAGGTGTAGTGTGGCTGATTCAACTTCTTCCCAGCAGTTTTTATCATTCCTAGCTGGAGGGAGTATATTGAAGGAGAACTTTACACGAAAGTTGTTCATTATTTGAAAGAACGTTCTGGGCCCAGAAAGGCTTAGAAATCTTTTGCTTGTGCTAAATTCATTTTAAAAATCGCATTAACCACTGGAGGGTAATGGCACTTTTAAAGAGGTCATTACTTGTTTTACCACAAATAGATTATCTTAAGATTATGTCTTAAATAGGTATTTCTATGCTAGTACTAGAATAGTTTGAATCAAACTAGTGAAGTTGGAATGCTTGGATTAAAAAAATAGTTTATAGCAGGAACCATGGAGCCCTTTTCAGTGGCAGCAGAGAGCTGGGGATATTTAAAACTGACTAATTGTGTGTGTGTGGAAGTTGGATGTGTTTGTGTGTGAAGTGATGGGTGGGAATGGATGGAGGGGATGATGGAAGTAAATGTAGGTAGCTTGTATATGTGATGAGGACAGAGGAGCCCTGGTTCCTCATAGATTATTTCAAGGGTGAGGTAGCACAAGTTAACTCATGTCTTAAATATAATAGGTTGTATAATATCCAAGTGTATACAAGACAAGCAGTGTGTGTGTGCATATGCGTGTAAGTTCTCTCTGAATGTATGTGTTGAATAGACACCTG